CGCCCTGAGGCCGCCGGTGCCCCAAGGCCGCCCGCTCCCTGAGGCCCCACGCCCTCCAGGCCAGCTGCACCGGGTGCTTTTGGAGCCAAAGACAGGAAACCAGCAAAACCTCAGCCAGAGAGGGCACCTGGAGTCCCTGAAGGCCCGAGCTTGGGTAGGGGGCTGGGTCTCCAGAGCTCTGGGGTTTTGTTTGTTTGTTTATGTGCCCTTGGGACTTGTGGGTTTAAAAAGGTGAGAAAGTCCAGTGTACCCCTTATCACCACAGGCTGAGTTCTCCGGGTGTGTTTTAGTCAGGGGGTGCAGGGCAAGCGTGCCCGCCTCCCCAGTGATGGACACAGGGCCAGAACTCAGCCCAAAAGATGGTGGGCTTGGAGGATGCTGAAGTGCACAGTGATTGTCCTCAGGGGGAAAACAGAGAACAGAGACATACATACAAGGCTGACGTGAGCACCGACCACATGTGACACGGTACCATATCTTATGTGAACACACATCCATCTGCTGTCTCCTATGCACATCTGAAATAGTAAGGAACTAGGGACATCCTGAATGCTCCAGAGAAGGGAAGGGCCAATCAAGTCAGGGCACCAAAACATCGCAATGGCTTTGACCTTGAAAAATCTGCACTGTGACCTCAAAAATATTAACCTGCATCACATCTCAGATACATAAGATACTGTGTTTTGTATTCTTACAATTGCAGCTACGTGGTGGACTGACTGCAAGGAAAGAAAATCGACTTTCATTTATTATTTTTAAAGCTTTTCAAAATTTTGACATAGTAGAAGGATTTCTCATGGAACACCAGCCCACGTGCTGAAGTTCTAGAGACAAACATGCTTCACGTTGTCATAGAAATGCCTACGTCCTGCTCACTGGTTTTTGACTTGCAATATATGATGTCAGGTCCCTCCTGCCTCACTCAGAATGAACCACCCCTCATATCATCGCTCTCATATCACCACACCAGGTGAAGGGTGGAAGGTATGCACAGGGACACCTCCCTACCTCTTGGCCTCCCTACCTCCCCACCTGGCCACACCTCTTCCTGTCCCTGGCCTAGATAAGTCCTGGCGCAGAGGTGGGTCGCCCCCTTTCTTTTTAGCCATGCCTTGCCACCATGCATGGCGGGGGCAGCAGTCCAGTAAATAAACTTCTCCTGCCTGAATAGTGTGTGGTGTTCTCTTCATCTGCTACCTAATGAAACCTACTTATTTAATATACCTTACACAAGGATCTTTCCATCTGCCCCGAGAACAAACACACAACAAACGTCCTTGTTGTTCAGGTAAAGCTTCATGCTCAGTGCTGTGTTCTCAGCCTCTGGCACTCTATGCTCAACCAGGACACATGTTCTTTGAGGCCTGAGACCTACATCTCTGCTCACTCTGGATCCTACATCCAACAGGCATTGTACCCAGTGTTAGTCCCACCCGGCCTGCCCCGGCCTTTCTTGTCTGATGGACCAAGGCCAAGGGACCTGCGGGTTCCTCTTTGCAACTGTGCATCCCTCAGGCCTGGTCCAGGTCACTTCTCTCTCTCCTCATGGGTCACCCTGGGCCTGACCAGTCTCAGGGGAATGTCACCTGACTAGAGAGAGATAAGCAGCTGCCTGAAGCCACTGAGCTGGGGTAATTGCTTATGCGTAGATACACGTCTAGAGAAACCTGCCTTGTCTACCCTGAACTTTAAAAGTCATCAGTAGAAGTTTTCCTCAGGCAAATTTTCCTTCCCCTCCCCATTTAATGTCTCTGGCCAAGACTTGGCTCCAGTTATGAAACTTGAGCCAGAATCAATCTTTTTTTCCCTTTTAGGTTGATTGTCTCAGGTATTGTGTAACAGTGAGAGAAAGTTGACTATCACACACCTCCAGAACTGTCAGCTAAATAACCCTTTCTGTCTCTAAAAATATCCCAGCCTAAGTATTCTATCACAGCCATAGGAAACTAAGACAAGAGGTTCCTGATTTTAATGAGAAGAGGAGCAAGCCAGGCACTGGTGGCTCACACCTATAATCCAAGCTACTCAGGAGGCTGAGATTTGCGGATTGCAGTTCAAAGCCAGCCCAGGCAGAAAAGTCCAAGGAATTCTTATCTCCAATACACTACTCGGGGAAATAAAAAAAAAAAAACTGGAAGTGGTGCTGTGGCTCAAGTGGTCAAGCACTAGCTTTGAGCACAAAGAGGGTCAGGGACAGTGCCCAAGCCCTGAGTTCAAGCCTGGGACTGGCAAGAAGACAAAGACAAAGACGAAGAGGAAGACAAAGAAGAAGAGGAAGAAGAGGAGGAGGAAAAGAAGCAATTGTTAGGATGCTGATTTTGGGACAGTGAACTCTTGCTCAGCGCTGAGCGCAGGAAAGTGAGCAGCTGAGGGAGGCTGGAATAGGCCAGGAATGCTTGGCTAGGGCAAGTGCAGAGCCCAAGAGTCTTCTGTGACTGGAATAAGGAAGCAAATGGATTGGCCCTGACAAAAAGAGGCCCAAATGGTAGAGAAGAGCCTTTTACCAGAGAGGGGAACCGTAAGTCCTGCTTGCAGGAGAGAATGGAAGAGAGGACTGCATCCGGAGAGCTTGCACCTGCCTGCCACCTCTGTGGCGATCTTGCTTTGTTTGGCCTGCATGGAGGGGGAGGGGAGGGGGACCCATGGGGGAAACACCCTGCAGGAAGACTTAGAGGAATTATGCTGCAGGAAAGAATCTGCTGGCTCAAGATCCAGAAGCCCCTGGGGTGCCGCTCAGGGTGGGTACAGAGGCATGGGGACCCTGGGTGCTCCTGGCTTTGGGCCCCCTGTGCAGCCAGCGCCAAGAGCTCTGTTTCTGCCCTTCCCCCACCCCACAGGGCTCCTCTCAGCCTCCTCTGGGGATGCGGGCACAGGGTCACAGGTCACTTTCAGCTTCAAAAGTACTATCAAGCACCGGTGTTTGTCTGTGGTGCCACTGTGGACAGTGCAATGGTGTGTGCACGCATGTGTGTGTGTGCGCGCGCGTTTGTGTGCATATGTGCATCTTCTAGATGAGCCATGACTTTTTCTCAGACTACTTTTTCTCTTAAATTCTTGAAGTTTTCTCCTTTCCTTCTCCCTTTCTAACTTTTGTTTTGTGCTTCCAAGTGTGTAGATGATTTCCACATGACCATTCCATGAGTCATGAGAGTCATTTCCTCACGGTCCGTGTGTGAATGGGCAGGTGTGACCACCCACGCCTCACAGGCCAGGGACGGAGGGCATGGGTGCCTGGGACGGGCATGCCAGGAGGCAGAAGGCCCTGTCTTTGGAACTGCCAAGTCACAGGGCACACATTATTGATGTCCTCAGCAGTGTATTTAACAATGAGCCCCAAGGGCTGGGCATAATAGCTTCCTGTCAGGTTACTCTGCCGACTTTGAAGGGCTTTGATGTCACTGAGGAGCATATTGGTTTAGTGCAGGCACACAGAGGAGAGTCCCTTGTAATCAATAGTGAGTGTGATTACAAGGGATGATTACAAGTGCCTGGAGCAGTCACTGAACTCGAGCTAGGGATGGGCTTTGCCCAGTAGGCTTCAAGGTTTCCTCATCCTCAGAGCCTGGCCGCGTGGCCAGTCCAATCAAACACAGAAGTCTCGCTGGGGGAGCACCTCTCACAGTGAACTTGGCATTTTCCCACTAAGGGTGGAGGAGGGACACCTTCTTGAGTAGCTGTCAAGGAGAGGTCAAATGCTCAGCTATTTTCAAAAACACATTTCAACAAAACAGGTACCAAACAAGAATTTGGCACAAAAACCATGCAGTCTTGCGCCCTTCTGTATGCCCACGTTTTCCAGTACCTAGCCAAATCATAGGGAATTGCTATCGTCACAAGGAAAATGATGGCCAGAATGTCAGCAACTTCATGTGGTTCAAGGACATCTTTGACTAAGTTCGAGAGGGTGTAGTCTGCTCTTGAGAGCTACATGCCTTCCTGGAGTTTTTGGTGGTGGTGGGGGTGTAGGGAGGGGCGGAAAGCTTCTTTGTCTGTCTTATTTTTCCAGACAGGTAGCCCTTAAGAGTGTGCCCATTAGCCGAGGTTGGAATCATCATGCAGAAGGAAATGAAGAAGAAAAAACACACTCTTAAAAGGCCTGTAAATCCTAAAGCTGCTCAAGAAATTCTTAATCCAGCTATATGCAAATAACATGGATCTAGATTTATTAGCCATCCCTAATGTAATGATAAATGATAACGATAGTAATTTAAATGACAAACATGAAAACTCCGTCCTCTCATTCCTTTGGCTTGATTATGAGCAAAACCAACAACAACTTGATATTCTCCTCCCCCATTCTTTTACACTCCATTTCAGAAACTTGGGCACAATTTGAAATGCTGCCGATAGATCCGTGGTCATTCTACGTGTGGTTGGAAGATGAGGCAGACATTCTGCTTCCGGGGAGTAAACGATATTGCCACGGAAACCCAGATGCTGTGTTGTAAGTGGAAGATTTCCATTTGTTCAGTGTCCCACCTGGGTGTTGAATAGGCTTGGCTGTGGTGTGCCTGGGCGTCTCTTTGGTTTGCTCTGAGT